GCCTACCCCGCAGCCCAATTTAAGACCCCCTCCCCGACGAGAGCTCCAAGTACAGGGCTGCACCCCGCTGCGCTGCCTTCAACTCGAGCCCAATTGTCTCCGCCCCCCGCGATTCGCTCTGCGCGCCGCGAACTGGCTACGTGCTATGATTCGCCACCCTGCCCCGCCAGTCGCCCATGGGTCCCGCGCCGACGCGCAGCGCGCCGCACCCCCACTCGCCCGCGGCAGGCACCCTCCCCGACCCCATGTCTCCCCCGTTCGCCCCCCCGCCAACCTGCCCGCCAACGATCGGCGGCGCGCGCCAGGCGGCATCTGCGACAATGCAAGCCCGAAGCCCATAGCAGCTACCGCACGAGAACATGCCGTGCACGTCGGCCCGGTCCAACCTAAGGGGCCGGCTGTCCTGACCAGAAAAATATCCGCACCCGGCGGACACAGAATTCCGCAGCACTGCGTGGTGCACGGTCTTGCTGCGCAAGTTAATCCACACGTGAGCGCTGTGTAGGTCCTGCTTCCTCATCGTCGGGAGAGGATCGCGCGGCGCCTCTGCCGGGGCGGCACGCTTGCCTGCCTCTCCATCCGGGGCCTGTTCAGGCGGCGGGGGCTCTGGGACCTCGCAAGACGTCCGGATTGTCTTCCGCTTCTTCCGCCAGCCCGCGCGGTCTAGGATATCGCACTCGCACCCCCCCGCGTACGCCGCCGCGAGACGCAGGCCCCCCTCGGCCGAAGAACTCGGTCCGCTGCGGGGAGCAGCCGGCGCAGCTTGAGCGGAGCGGTACGTCTGGATGGCGCGGTGGCAGGACTGCCTCCTGTTGTGGTCCCGCGCGAAAATGAGGAGCAGCAGCTCCTCGTGCACTGGGTGCGCCCCGGACAAGACGACCTGCCAGCGATTGGCCACGTGGAACAATTGCTCCGCCGCTTCTGTGTCCACGCCCTTCAGAGAGGGGTAGTCGTCGGCGTCGACGCCAGGCACGAAGTACGGGCTCGTCTTATCGCGGCAGCTCTTGTGATAGGTGAAATGCAACCGATCGATGATCCATTGCAAGCCCAGTAACCACGCCCAGCCGGGCGCGTCCGGATCACTCGGGGGGCTCTCGCGCTGCCGCTTGCGCAGGTGCCGCGCGACCGCGCAGGCGTTGTCGTAAATCACGTATGCCAAATCTAGGAACAGCTCCCTGGTGGCCAGCAAGAACAACAGTAATTGCGAAATGCTCTCGGACGCCCACATCGGCGCAATTGCCGCAATTTGCAGGCAAGGCGTGACGGCCACGAAGATGCCCGCGGATTTGCGGCCAACCAGCAACTCGTCGACGTCCTTCCTGTCATCCTTGTTGCAGTCCTCCTGCTGTTTCTTCTGCCTCGCCCGCCGAAGCAGCCACATCTCGTACTGCCTGACGTCGTCCGTGTTCACGGCCTCCCGCCTCGCCCACCCCCCCTGCACCTTGTACTCCAGGAGCACCCCGTCTTGCCGGACTGTTTTACGGTGGTCCTCCACCACGAGTGCGTCCTGGGATTGCTGCCACCGTCGTCGGTGCCCGCGAGCATACGCATGCCTCTTGCAATACAAACTGCCAGGGGCGGGCCGCTCCGTGCATCCCTTGAAATACCCCTCCCGAACTTCCGCGGAGAAGACGGGATTGCAGTCCCGGGCATTGCATATACTGGTCTGGACGCACCATTTGCCGTCAACGACCAGGGCCCGCACGCGGCGGAATAGCCAGCAAGCATGAGAAGCTGACGACGTCGAGAACGCCTTCCTCGCCTGACAGAGCAACGCCTCAAAATCGGAGCCCTGGTGGTGCGGCCGCAGACACCAGACGAATGTGTGAACGTCCAGAGCGCACTCGGCGAACATCAATATGCAAGCGAAGGCGATCACGTTGATCTCGAAGATCTGCAGCAGGTGCGTCCTTGACGCGTACATCGTGCCGCGCATGGACGCTGGCCACAAGGTCTGGTAGATCACAGCGAACGCGGTGAAGCTCATGCCGCCGCGGGCTAGGAAACCGAGCAAGTAAGACAACAGGGTGACCTCAACGACGACCTGCGGAGTCGCAAAAAACCACCGGTTCTGCTCGCAGCAAGTGGAGGCAAGAACAGGCGAGTGAAAGCCTCGCGGGAACTGAGAATCCTCTGGCACTGCTGGCCACTTCCAGTTGCCGGCAAATACGGCGCGGCACACTGTGCATCGGAGGCACGCGACGTTCCCAGGGCGAGCCCCTCGCGCCAGGGTAAAACACAGTGCTGGCAAAACTCTCCAACGACGCAAGCGCTTGTGGCAGCACTCGGTGACGCCAACGGGCACCCACTCCTGAACGCAGGAGGCTAAGCTGGAAGGCGGAAGCGCGGGGTCCTGGATGACGGTAACTGCCGCTAAATTCCGATGGTGCTCCGTAACCCAATTGGAATGCGAAGACAGGAGTCCGGCCAAGACAGGCCGAACGTGCGCAGCGTCGCATAGCTCGGCGGGAGCAACGCCAGCACGGAGCAGCAATGATGCGATGCACTCGTCCCTCCCGAGAACGTCGCTCAAATGATACCCCAAGCAGAACCAACCCAAACAATGGGCGGGGAACGGCGCCATAGTTAGGTCCAGCTCGCTCATGGCGCCCGCCGGCTGCATGTGCCCATCAGCGGCCATGCGTGCAGGCCGGCAGAAGGATGCTGCCTGCTTCACTGGGGGAGTCTCGAATCAATGTGGCTTGAGCTGAACAGCTTGAGCCACAATGACTACGGAGGGGTCTCTGGGAGCATCGTGAGCCTGGGCCTGTGGGTTCCTGGGCCTGTGGATTCCTAGGTCCCTGACCTCGTCCCTGAACTCCAAAGCTGCCGGGGCCCTGGGTTCTGGAATTCCTGGGTTCCTCGGATCCTGGGTTCCTAAGTTTCTTGGTTCATGGGTTCCCGGACTGCTGGGTCTAGGGCGGACGCCTTCCAGACAAACTCGCCAGGGGCGGTGCCACTCTCTGCAACTACGATCAAGGTTAGTGGACCGCTCGAGGATCGACGATCGAGGGCCGCTGAGATGTCCAAGATCTAGGATCGAGGATCGATCAGAGTACGAGGATCCGGGACCGATCGGAAATCGAAGTTCCAGGATCCAGGGCCGATCGAAGATCTAATAATCAGGGTCGGACCCAAAACGAATACCCAAGCTCGAGGACCCAGGATTTGAGGATCCAGGAACGATCGAAAGCCAGAGATCCAGGATCGATGGGAAACGGAGGCTCCAAGATATAGAACCGATCGACGATCGATGATCCAGTGTCGTTCGGCGACCCAGGAAGGAGGACCCACGATCGTTCGAAGATGGAGGACCGAAGATCGATGGAGGGTTGGAGTCCTAGGATCGAGGATCGGTCGATGGTCGAAGTTCGAGGGTCGTTCGAAGAGGGAATGCTCAGGGGACGATGACTTCGTAGAGTGCCGGCCCGCACTTTTCGATCCAGGACGTGGTAGATGGCCCAAGATTGCCCCAAGACGACCCACGATGGCTCCAAGCTGGGCCCGGATGACCCCAAGAGGCCACCAAAATCCCCTAGGGCGTTCGAAGATGCTCCCGAGAGGCGTCCTTCTCGTCGTCCTCCTGATCGTTATCCCGCTCCCTCTCCTGCCTCTCCCCCCCCCTCTTCCTCCCGCAAGTGTTCCCCGAGGGGGTTCCGCAACGACTGGGGGAACACATATTCCGATAGCTTGAGCATGATCTCTCTATCCCAGCGTTTGGCCACATAGGCGCTTCCAAAGGCAAGGGGGCTGCGGCGGGGCGCCGTAGGCGTCTTCGAGTCCAGCCTGAAGAAAAGGGAGGCAGGGGGGGACGACGACGAAGACGACGACGAACACGCACGTACACGCACACGCACGCAGAAACAAATACACATGCACATCCGCGCAATCCAGAGCGCCACCTGGAGAGAGCCACGAAGAGCCCCCTGCCCGTCTTCGGTCGTCGTTCATCGGTCGGCGTCGTCGTCGCCGCCGCCGCCGCAGTGCCGTCGTCGCCGTCGCCGTCTTTGTCGTCGGTCGTCGTCGTCACCAGCGCCCCTAGAAGGGACGTCCGCCGTCGAAGCCCGCGAGAGCCCCCCCCCCCACTAGAGAAAACGTGGCAGGCACCCACCACCCGCCACGCGCAGGGCACCCGCAGTGTCCCCGAAGGGCACCCACCACGCGCAGGGCACCCGAAGGGCACCCACCACCCGCAGGGCACCCACAGGGCACCCGAAGGACCCCCGAAGGGCACCCACCACGCGCAGGGCACCCGAAAGGCACCCACCACCCGCAGAGCGCCCGCAGGACACCCGAAGAGCACCCACCACCCGCATGGCACCCGCAGGGCACCCGCAGAGCACCCGCAGGGCACCCGCAGGGCACCCACCACCCGCAGGGCACCCGCAGGGCACCCACCACCCGCAGGGCACCCGCAAGGCAGCCGCAGGGCACCCGCAGGGCACCCGCAGGGCACCCGAAGGACGCCCACCACCCGCAGGGCACCCGCAGGGCACCCGCAAGGCACCCGCCCAGCATTCCCCCCAAACCGGCACCCCCAGATGAGCTCGACGAAGGCACCAGCACGGCAAACGAAGGGCACCCACCACCCGTAGGGCACCCGCAGAGCACCCGCAGGGCACCCGAAGGGCACCCACCACCCGCATGGCACCCGAAGGGCACCCACCACCCGCAGGGCACCCGCAAAGCACCCCCGAAGGGCGGGAAGAGCGTGTCGGGTGCCTTAGGGTGCACCGCGGGGGCATTGCACGTGCCTTCGGGCGTATGTCGGGCTCTTTTCTGGGTGCCGATCGAAAGATTTCGTGCGCTGCAATGAGTTTCGTTTGTTTTTTGGTGCCTGTCGGGTGCTTTCAGGTGCCCTTTCGGGTGCCTCTCCGGTGTTGCGGGCGCGGTCTGGAGTTGCTGGGGCCCGCTCAGGCCGCGCCCCCCCTGCCTCTCGCGGCCGCGCCGAGCAGGTTGTCCTGGCCGAGCGGGCTGCAGTCTGCCTTCCCGCCCCCGCCCTAGCGGCCGCAGCTAGGCGCGCCGCCCGCGTTGGAGGCCGCGCTGCCGTGCTTGCCCCGCCCCTTGCCGCCGCCACCTCTTCGGCGGCGCGCGGGGGGGGAGCCGAGCGCGTCGGCAGCCCTCGAAGGAAACAGGGCCCCCCCTCCCTCAGGAATCGCTCCTCTGAAGCCTCCTGCCAGGCATCCGCTGTCTCCGCAGATGGCCCCCCTGCCTCCTTCGAAGGCCGCCCTCCGGGCCGCCCCCGGCCGCGCGCCGCCGACCTCGGCCGCGGGCCAGGTCTTGCTCCTTCCGCCCCGAGCAGCTGTAGCAAGCCTGCGCCGTCAGCTTCGGGCCACTGTTTTCCTGCAAGAGCTTCGCGTTCTTCTCGCGGAGAGCCTGCGAGGGCTCTGCGCCCGCAAGCGCCCGCGGGCCGAACTCGGAAAGCCCCGCGCGAACACCTCCGAACACACCGTGGGCGGGCGTTCGAGGAGCACCGCGGGGCCCTCCCCTGGCGCGAGGGCGATTGCGCGCGAGCGCTCCCCGACGCCGAGATCTTCGCGTGGAGCGCCACCTGCTCCTGCAGGGCCAACTCCTTCTTGCCAGGGTAGTCCACGCCGTCCACGTGCGGGCCGCCGTGGTACATCGTGCGCCAGTAGCTCAGCTGCCCCCTGAGCGCCTCCCCTTCGCCCTGCAGGCGGGCTACCTCCGTCGTCAGGCCCGCGCACCTGGCAGACCAAGTGCGGTTCGCGGTGCGGCCCGGCGCCCCCGCGCGAGGAAGTCTGCACTTTCTCCCGCAGGCGCGCTCAGTGGCCGTCAACCCCGTGAACCGACCTCGTCTCCACCTTGCTGCAGGCCGCGTCTGCGTCGGCCGCCTCCTGGCGCGCCTGCGCCAGCTCCGCGCGCACCGTCGCGAGCTCCCGGTCGCGCACGCCCAACGCCGCGGCCGCGGCGGCGGCTTTCCGGCGCGCTTGCGCCAGCTCCTCCCGCAGCCTGCCAACACCGGCGCCGCGCTCGCCCCCCGCGACCCCCGGCGCCGCCGCCGGGGGCGCCGCCGCCACCCGCGGCGCCGCCGCCCTCGGCGCCCCCGCGGCTGCGCGCGGCGGAGCCTGCTGGGCCGCCGCCGCGGGCGCGGCTGCGCTCGCGGCCCCGCTCTCGCGAGTCGACCCACCGTCCGGCGCCGAGCTCTTCGGGGAGCGCGAGCGTGAGCGAGGCTTGCCGCCCTCGCTCGCCGGCGCCGCTGCCGCCCGCCGCGCCGGAGTGGCCGCCGGCGGCCTGGCGCCCCTGTCCCGCTTCGCCGTGACCGTGGCGCCGTCCTTCAGGGTGTCGCCGAGCGGCTGGTCGAGAGGCAGCGGCTCGCCCCGCGCGCGCCCCTCCGGGGATCTGCATCCCAAGATGCTACATGCTAGCCACAACGCCGGCACGGACGATAAGTATGAATTCTCCCAGGCACACAGGCACTGGGTGCTCACAACCACCGTGGTTCACGCACGCGCTGCAGTAAACAAAAAGCTGTGGTCTACACAAGCGTTGTCGCGCACGCGGGAGCTGTGGTGCGCGTGAACACGGCGGTGTACACAGGCGCTGTGGTGCACGCGGCTGCTGTGGTGTGCACGCGCCGTGGTATGCACAGGAAGTGCTAGCATGTAGTTGGGGTGAGAACAGATCGCCAGCCTCGTTCTGGTAGTTGGCCGCCGTGAAGGTCCAGCCCAGCTTGGCCTTGATCGCGGCGAGGAGGTCCGCCCCGCTGGCCGCCGAGTCAACCTCGATCACGTCGGACTTCGAGTGACCGTTCACGGCCAACAACTTCAGCATCACCATGGCGACGGCCGCACAAAGCTGAAAGCCCCCAGCGCTTGAAGCCGAGAATCTTGACCATTACCTTCCACCTACAATACCCCTCTGCCCTCTCTTCCTTCCCTCTCTTCCTCCTCTGACTCCTACCGCATTCGCGCGCATGTCGTCATCCCCTCCTCCTCCTCTTCCTCCTCCTCCTCCTCCTCCTCCACCTCCACCTCCTCCTCCGCTGCCGTGGCGTCCTGCCACTGCTCATCGACCTCCTCATCCACCTCCTCGTGATCATCCTGATTCCCTCCTCGCCCTTGCATTCCTGATCCTCCTCCGCGTCATCGTTCCTCTCACGATGGGGTTCCAACCTCAAGGATCGAGTTTCGAGGTTACCGATCCTGCGGGAATATCCGCGCCAGGATGGGAGCCTCTTGGGGACTCTTTGATGGCCTGTTGGGAGCGTCTCTGGCTGTCTTGGGGCGTTTTGGGAGTCCCTGGGGGGGCGCCCCCGGGGCTTCTCGAAGGCTCTTGAGGTTACAAGGTGCCGCCTCGGGAGCCACTTGTGCCGTCGTGGAACGATCGTGGAGGCTTCTTCGGAACCCCTGGACGTTTTCTGGGCTCGTGTTTATGTCTTCGGGTCGAACTTGAACCCCTTCCAGGGTGTATTCGGAGCCTTTCTGGAGGCTGTCATGGCGTCTCGAGGCGGGTCTTGAGGCGTACCCCCACTCCTGCGGCCCAAATGCACCAGCCAAGTGCGGAACATCGGTAAAATCATTCAACACATGTCCCCGCCGTTTCAGCGCCCCCGAAACACTTCCAAGGCGGTTGTTCCACTGCATGCTTCTACACTTCCCTGATCAAGGCAACTCGCCTGGCGATCGTTACTGGATGGGCTGGTGGGGGCACGCGAAGCTTCAAGAATTGCATCTCTCTCTCTCTCTCCCTCTCCCTCTCCCTCTCCCTCTCTCTCTCTCTCTATCTCTGCGTGTATATATATATATATATATATGTTTACATATGTACATATATATATATATATATATATGTGCATGCATACATATCTATACATATATTTGTGTGTATGTGTATATGTAGGCATACATGTATACATAAGTATATGTTCATCCGCCACCGTGCCTCTGGGCACGGAGTGGGCGTGTCCTCAGGTCCTCTGCCTCATCCCCTGGGCCTCAGTCCTCAGTCCTGAGGAGTCTTTTAGGGAACCAGACCCCAAATTGCCAAATCTCCTGGGGCTCCCGGCCGTTCCCCTGGGGTCCCCGGCAACTTGTCGCGTGACTGGTTCGGGCCCAAGAGGGCCCCAAAACGGGCCAAGATAACCCCAAGAGGCGTCCAAGACGGCCCAAGAGGCCCCCGAGACGCCCAAAGATCGCTCCAAGACTCTCAAGATGGGCCTAAGACGGCCCAAGAAGCCGCCCAGACGCCCCAAGACGGCCCAAGAGGCGTCCAAGAGGGCCCCAAGACGTTCCAACAGGCCTCAGAAGAGCGGCCCAAGAGGTCCAAATCGACAATTTCCATTTGTTTTTGAAGGATGTTGGCCCTCCCGCCTTTTCGGCTCTCCGACGCTCCAAGACGGCCTAAGAGGCCCCCAAGACCGCCCCAAGACCCCCAAGACGACGGCCCAAGAGGGCCCCAAGACGGCCCAGGAGGCGCCCAAGACGGCCCAAGAGGCCCCCAAGACGGCCCCAGGAGAGGGCCCAGAGGGGGACCACAGACCGAAAGCTCGAGCCTTCCGCCCCAAGAGGCCGCCAGGAGACCCCAAGAGGCCCCGAAGAGGCCCCAAGGGGCCGCCAAGACGCCCCCAAAGAGGCTCCCAAGAGGCCCAAAAGAGGCCCCAAGAAGCTCCAAAACAGCCCCCAAGATGCCTCAAAACTGCCTCCAAGAGGCCCCCGAGAGGCCAACCACGAGATCTCAACCAACATCCATGAGGCCTCTGACCCACCACCCAGGCACGATGGCGGGAAGGGCCGAAGGCCAGTAGGATACGAAGCCGGGAGGTACCAAGCCGGCGGCCGCTGGCTTGGTAGGGGGGAGCCCCCGGGGAGGTACCAAGCCGGCGGAGTACCAAGCCGGCGGCCGCTGGCTTGGTAGGGAGGAGCCCTCTGGGCGTACCAAGCCGGCGGGGTACCAAGCCGGCGGCCGCTGGCTTGGTAGGGAGGAGGCCCTGGAGAGATACCAAGCCGGCGGGGTACCAAGCCGGCGGCCGCTGGCTTGGTAGGGGGAGCCCCCGGGGGGGTACCAAGCCGGCGGGGTACCAAGCCGGCGGCCGTTGGCTTGGTAGGCAGGCGCCCCCGGGGGGGTACCAAGCCGGCGGGGTACCAAGCCGGCGGCCGCTGGCTTGGTAGTAAGGAGGCCCTGGAGGGGTACCAAGCCGGCGGGGTACCAAGCCGGCGGCCGCTGGCTTGGTAGGGAGGAGCCCCCGGGGGGGTACCAAGCCGGCGGGGTACCAAGCCGACGGCCGCTGGCTTGGTAGGGAGGAGGCCCTGGAGGGTACCAAGCCGGCGGGGTACCAAGCCGGCGGCCGCTGGCTTGGTAGGGAGGAGGCCCTGGAGGGGTACCAAGCCGGCGGGGTACCAAGCCGGCGGCCGCTGGCTTGGTAGGGAGGAGGCCCTGGAGGGGTACCAAGCCGGCGGGGTACCAAGCCGGCGGCCGCTGGCTTGGTAGGGGAGAGCCCCTGCGGGGTGAACAAGCCAGCGGGGTACCAAGCCGGGGCCGCTGGCTTGTAGGGAGGAGGCCCAGAGGGGTACCGAAGCCGGCGGGGTAACCGAAGCCGGCGGCGGCCCGCTGGCTTTTGGTAGGATGAGCCTCTGGAGGCGTACCAATCCGGCGGGGTGGGGGGTAACCAAGCCGGCGGCCGCTGCTTGGTAGGGAGGAGGCCCTGGAGGGGTATCAAAAGCACGGCGGGTAACCAGCCGGCGGGCCGCTGGCTGGTGAGGAGGCCCTGGAAGGGTACCAACCGGCGGGGAACCAAGCCGGCGGACCACTGGCTTGTAGGGAGGAAGCCCCTGTACGAAGCCGGCGGGGTACCAAGCCGGCGGCCGCTGGCTTGGTAGAGAGGAGGCCCTGGAGGGGTACCAAGCCGGCGGGGTACCAAGCCGGCGGCCGCTGGCTTGGTAGGGAAGAGCCCCCAGGGGTGTACCAAGCCGGCGGGGTACCAAGCCGGAGGCCGCTGGCTTGGTAGGGAGGAGGCCCTGGAGGGGTACCAAGCCGGCGGGGTACCAAGCCGGCGGCCGCTGGCTTGGTAGGGAGGAGCCCTTGGGGGGGTACCAAGCCGGCGGGGTACCAAGCCGGCGGCCGCTGGCTTGTAGGGAGGAGGCCCCTGGAGGGGTTACCAAAGCCGGCCTCTGATCCACCACCCAGGCACGAAGGGGAAGGGCCGAAGGCATAGCATACGAGCCGGGGGGGTACCAAGCCGTCGGCCGCTTGCTTGGTAGGGGGGGAGCTCCCCCGGAGGGGTACCAAGCCGGCGGGGTACCTAGCCGGCGGCCGCTGGCTTGGTAGGGAGGAGCCCCCGGCGGGGTACCAAGCCGGCGGGGTACCAAGCCGGCGGCCGCTGGCTTGGCAGGGAGGAGGCCCTGGAGGGGTACCAAGCCGGCGGGGTACCAAGCCGGCGGCCGCTGGCTTGGTAGGGAGGAGGCCCTGGAGGGGTACCAAGCCGGCGGGGTACCAAGCCGGCGGCCGCTGGCTTGGTAGGGAGGAGGCCCTGGAGGGGTACCAAGCCGGCGGGGTACCAAGCCGGCGGCCGCTGGCTTGGCACGGAGGAGGCCATGGAGGGGTACCAAGCTGGCGGGGTACCAAGGCGGCCGCTGGCTTGGTAGGGAGGAGGCCCTGGAGGGGTACCAAGCCGGCGGGGTACCAAGCCGGCGGCCGCTGGCTTGGTAGGGGGAGCCCCCGGGGGGGTACCAAGCCGGCGAGGTACCAAGCCGGCGGCCGTTGGCTTGGTAGGCAGGCGCCCCCGGGGGGGTACCAAGCTGGCGGGGTACCAATCCGGCGGCCACTGGCTTGTAGGAGGAGGCCCTGGGGGGACCAAGCCGGCGGGGTACAAGCCTGCGGCCGCTGGCTTGGTATAGGAGGCGGATCTGGAGGGGTACAAAACCGGCGGGTACCAAGCCGGCGGCCGCTGGCTTGGTAGGGAATGAGCCCCCAGGCGGGGTACCAAGCGGCGTGGTACCAACGCCGCGCGCCGCTGGCTTTGCAGGGAAAGAAGGCCCTGGAGGGGTACCAAGGCCGGCGGGTACCAAGGCCAGGCGGCCGCTGGCTTGGTAGGGAGGAGGCCCTGGAGGGGTACCAAGCCGGCGGGGTACCAAGCCGGCGGCCGCTGGCTTGGTAGGGAGGAGCCCCAGGGGGGGTACCAAGCCGGCGGGGTACCAAGCCGGCGGCCGCTGGCTTGGTATCTGGATGGGTTGGTTCGGCGCCAGAACGGGTACCAAGCCGGCGGCGGGCGTGCAGTATGATATTTTATACCGGACGGTAACATTGCTCTCTGGTGGCGTTCCCGCGCGGGCGGCTTCGGCTTTCAAAATTGGTAAATTTCGGCCGCGGGCGATTTTGTCGATGCCCGGGCACGGGCAGAGGGAGATCCCCTCGCAGTGCGGGCACGTGCCTTGGCGAGCAGGAGTGCGAACAAGGGTGACATCTGGAGCCGCATCCTGCATTTCCTTCAAACGTGCTGCCAGTTTGCCTGGTTGGCAGCGGTTGGTCACCAAGCTCGGCAAATATGTTTGCACCTCCCAAAGAACGTTTGCCAGCACAGTGTCGTCGACCTGTCCATAACCCTGCTCGGACAGGACGCATTTCAGGACAGGCAAGGCGAGGGTGGCATCGACGTGCGCCAACACGTCGCAGAAAGCCGTGGTGCACTGCACAGGCAAAGGCTCCAGAATCCGAGCAAGGGAGAAGTGCTCCCCTGGATCGCCGGCCATGGCGAAGCCGACGCGGTCGGAATATGCGAACAATGTCCGAGGGCGAAGCTGAGAGGACGACCTCGCATCCTTGAGCCTAATTGGGCCAGGACG